TGATGATCGTGAGTCCATTGTTGATTGTCAGAAAAGCCCATCTGGTTCACTAATGTCTTTTGGAGAAGGAAACTGCCATCCTTACCTGGTTTGGCCTATATGTGACTCCTGAGCCACAGCAATGTGCGTGACTCTAAACTGCCCTCTGGGCAATTAGGGATGGGCAATAAATGCTGGCCTAGAAAGCGATGCCCTCATCATGTCAATGAATTTTAAAGGTCCTGGGGAATGTTGCAAAACAAAGAGACTTTGGGGTGCAGATTCATTGTTCCTTGAATGTGGAGTCACATATAGACAGGGTAGTTAAGAAGGTGATTGGTACACTTGCCTTTATTAGTCAGTACATTGAGTATAGGAGTTGGGATGTCATGTTGCGGCTGTACAGGACATTGGTTGGTCAGTACATTGAGTATAGGAGTTGGGATGTCATGTTGCGGCTGTACAGGACATTGGTTAGGCCACTTTTGGAATACTCATTCAATTCTGACCTCCCTGCTTTAGGAAAGATGTTAAACTTGAAACGGTGCAGAAAAGATTTACAAGGATGTTGCTGGGGTTGGAGGGTTTGAGGTATAGTGAGGGGCTGAATAGGCTGGGGCTACTTTCCCTGGAGCGTGGGAGGCTGAGGGGTGATCTTTTGGAGGTTTATAAAATCATGAGGACCATGGATAGGGTGAATAACTAAGATCTTTTTTCCCAGGGTAGGGGAGTCCAAACCTACAGGGCACAGGATTAAGGTCAGAGGGGAAAGATATAAAAGGGACCTAAGGGGCAACTTTTTCATGCGTGTATGGAATGATCTGCCAGATGAAGTGGTGGAAGCTGGTACAATTACAACATTTAAAAGGCATCTAGATAGGTACATGAATAGGAAGGGTTTAGAGAGATATGGGCCAAATGCTAGCAAATGGAACTAGATTAGTTTAGGATATCTGGTCAGCATGGACAAGCTGGACCAAAGGGTCTGTTTCTCTCTGTTTCTTTGAGCTTCCAAGTGTCTTGCCATTCCTTTGTCTGGGACAATCAATAGCTGCTAATGGGGACTGTTAATGGCTGACAATCAGTTGTTTATGGTAACAGCCCATGTGATGGTCTGGTGTGTGGAGCCTCCATTGCTCTCCATTGCAGAGATGAAATGTGGACTGTGTGACCACTTTGCAAAACGCCTATGTTCTATGCACAAAAATGTCCCTGAGCTTCCTGTTGCCTGTCAGTTCAATACATCATCATGTTCCCTGGCCAGCAGCTCTGTCTCAGACTTGCTGCATTGCTTCAGCAAGGCTCAGTGTAAGCTGGAAGAACAGCACATTTTCTGCTTGGGGACCCTGCAGCCTTCAGGACTTAATATCATGTTAAATAATTTTAGGGATTTAGCATCTTCCCCCATGTCCTTAACCCAATACCTACACACCAAATTACTTGACAGTGAGGGAGAAGGTCTTAAGTTATAGGAGGATTGGTCAGAAGGACAAATCAGTTACTACCCATTCCTTTATCTGCCCAACTGTTTTAGTCTCTCTCTGGACTCTATCTCCACCTATCATTTCTTCCTCCCCCTCCCACCACCCCATCTTCAGCATAGATACCAACCTTTTCCTAACCATCTTCTCCATACGTTCAACAGCATTATCTTTGCTGAATCCCCTATCAACATCCTGGCATTTAACCACTGATCATAAATGGAAATGGGCCAACCAAAGAAGTACTGTGGCTACAACAGTAGGCCAGAAGCTAGGAATTCTGTTGGTGGGTAACTCACCTCCTATGTCATCTCCACATGGAGCTCCAATAAATATTCAGAAGCTTGATACAAAGCTGTAAGCATTTTAAACATTCATGAGCTCAACCACTGATGCCCAGCAATGTGAACAATCCATAAAATGTACTGAGGCAACTAACAGGCTCCCACAATAGCATCTTCCACACCCACAATCTCGACCATTCAGGCCAAAGGTTGAAAATGCATGAGAACTCCACCTACTGCAAGTTCCCTTCAAAACCACACACCATCCTGACTTGGAACTAAGACACCACTATTTCATTGTAGCTGGGTCAAAATCCTTGAAATCCTTCCTTAGCAGCATTGTGTGTATCTACGCCACATGGGCAATAGCAGTTCAAGAAGGCAGCTCACCATCATCTTCTCCAGGATAATTAGGGATGGGCAATAAAAACCCTCATCCCGTGAATGAATAAAACAAGATGAGACTAATGCCACAGGATTGAAGAATTGTAAATGTAAAACAATAGCAAAATAGCATGAATGCTGGAAATCTGAACAATAAACAAAAAGAACTGCAGGTCAGAGACAGAGAAAATCAGAATTAATGATACAGGACTGGGCCTTTCACGATAAGACAGGTTGGTCCAGCTGAAGTCATGTGCAGAGACTTTCAATAGGCATTAATAAAGTGCTACATTAGAAGCTTATAATGGTGTCAAATTGATTAAGCCATCTTAAAGGATCCTCAACTATAAATAAAGGTAGCTGTAGTTGCAGTTCTTACTCTCCATTGAAACACAGTAAGAATCCCAATCAGACCAAATGACTTCTTGAATAATCTCCTCTATTAATTTTTTTATCCCATCCAATAGTTATTGCTTAATGTTTTAGCGAAGATCTATAGCTCAGTTTGTGGTTGGAGTTGTTGGTTGGTTCGCTGAGCTGACTGCTTTTAATGCAAATGTTTTGACCCCCTTCTAGGTGATATCTCCAGTGCTGTCTAGCCTCCACTGAAGTGCTGTGGTTCTGTTCCATTCTGAATTTATATGGTCCGGTCTGTTATGGTGTGTAATTCTGTTTCCGGTTTTGCTCTGTAGTGGTATGTAGATGGGGTTTATTTCAACATGTTTTTTTAATGGTACCAGTAGTTGAAAAGCAGGCTTCCAGGAATTCTCGTGCTTGTCTTTGTTTTGCTTGTTTCTAGATGTAATGATGGAACAAATGAACAACGGTGAATTCCTTACCAGTGTATATAGAAAGACTACACCCACAGACCAAATCCTGAATTCCAACAGTACCCTCCCCAGCAGCCACAAATAGAGCTGTGTCATTCTCTGTTTAAACAAATGATTACACACTGCAACATGTGAGGTCATCCATTTTGGTAGGAATAACAGGAAAATGGACTATGTTTTAAATGGTAAAAAATTGCAGCACGCTGGGTGTCCTTGTACATGAATTGCTAAAAGTAGGATTGCAGGTGCAGCAGGTAATTAAAAAGGCAAATGGAATTTTGTCTGCCATTGCTAGAGGGATGGAGTTTAAAAACAGGGAGGCTATGCTGCAGCTGTATAGAGTCCTGGTTAGGCCACACCTGGAGTACTGTGTGCAGTTTTGGTCTCCTTACTTCAGAAGACATATACTATCACTGGAGGGGGTGCAGAGGAGATTCACTCAGTTGATTCCACAGTTGAGAGGGTTGGATTATGAGGAGAGACTGAGTAGACTGGGATTATACTCATTGGAATTCAGAAGAATGAGGGGAGATCTTATAGAAACATATAAGATTATGAAGGGAATAGATAAGGTAGAGGCAGGGAGGTTGTTCCCGCTAGCAGGTGAAACTAGGACTAGAGGGCATGGCCTCAAAATAAAGGGAAGCAGATGTAGGACTGAGGTCAGGAGGAACTTCTTCACCCAAAGGGTTGTGAATCTGTGGAATTCCCTGCCCAGTGAAGCGGTTGAAGCTACCTCGCTGAATGTTTTTAAGGCAAGGCTAGATAAATTTTTGAACAGTAAAGGAATTAAGGGTTATGGTGAGTGGGCGGGTAAGTGGAGCTGAGTCTCAAAAAGATCAGCCATGATCTTATTAAATGGTGGGGCAGGCTCGAGGGGCCAGATGGCCTACTCCTGCTCCTAGTTCTTATGTTCTTATGTTAACACCTCAGTGCTGCGCAAAAATGAAGAGGAACACCTATACAAAGTCTTTATTAACAATGGATATCCTAACAGTTTCATCCGCCGATGCCTGGCAAATAAACAACACCAAGAAGACACTGTACACCCCAACACACAGGCCACCTTACCTACACTATATTAGAAATATATTGGAACTGACTACAAGAGTCCTATGACCTCTTGGAATAATGATTGCACACAAACCAACGGCCACACTTCATCCAGCTAGTCTCAAAGACGAAAGACCCCATATCCACAATGAACAGGACAAATGTGACATACAAAATACCATGCAGCGACTGCGAGAAGCAATACATAGGAGAGACAGGCAGGAAACCTGCCACCAGGATACATGAACAACTCTCCCTCATTTCTATTCACTCCGACATAGAAGGGCATCAGTTTAACTGGGACAACGTAACAGTACTAGGACAAACAAAACAAAGACAAGCACGAGAATTCCTGGAAGTCTGGTTTTCAACCACTGGTGGCATAAACAAACACACTGAAATAGATTCCATAATGGTGTGTACATGGGGCAAATTGGAAACAGAACTACCCACCAAAACAGACTGGAACAGAACAACAGTGCGTCAGTGGAGGCTAGACACCTAGATGTCACCTAGAAGGGGGACAAAACGTTTGCACAAAAACCAGTCAGCTCAGCAAACCAACCAACAATAGTTATTGCTTCCTCATTTATTTTCTTTCTAGATCTACATTTAAAGTGATGTGCAAAGGAAGCCAGGGTGATGTGGCATTTTTTTTTTTCACATAGTGAGTAGTTAGGGTACGGAATGTACCACCTCAAAATGTGATGGAGGCAGGTTCAACTGATGCATTCAAGAGTGCATTAGACTTTTTTTTATATAGTAATGGTGTGCAGGGATATTGGAAAAAGGCAGGAGCTTAGCACTAGATAATATAGCCCGATGAGACAACAGAGCTGGTGCAGGTACAATGCACTGAATGGCCCCCTTCTGCATTGTAATAATTCTGAGATTCTGTGACTCTCTGGTATTTGTATGTCTCTATTTAGCTTGATTTCCCATTTTATAATAAACAATAATATGGGATATTTGCAGTTCTCTACACTCACCAAGCTTGAAATTCTGCTCTGCTCCACTCAAATTTATGGTCCCAGTGCCTGAATCGCATTATTCCTGGGAGTAAGGGGTTGAAGTCTGCATTTGGAGTTGTAATTACAACTACTGCTGGATTCATGTATCCAAACACCACCTCCGGAAACCTCTCGAGTTCTGAGATGTCTAGGTGTTCTATTCTGAAATAGAAACAGGACAATGAGCAAAGTCAGATGAAAGGAATTTGACTTTGACATAAATAGTTAAACTAAGAAACATATCTCTTATTCTTTCATGGAAAGTGCACATTTCTGGCAGGATTTAGTACTCATTCCCATTGATGCTTGACAAGGTGACAAAACCATAAAACATCAGAGTAGATGTAGGCCATTCAATCCTTTGAATCTGCTCTGCCATTCAATGAAACATAGAAACGTAGAAAATAGGAATAGGAGTAGGCAATTCGAACTATCAAATCTGCTTTACGATTCAATATGATCATGACTGATCGTTCAACTCAGTCTCCTGGTCCCACTTTCTTTCCATATCCTGTGATTGCTTTAGCCCGAAGAATTACCTCTAACTTTTTCTTGAAAACATTCAATGTTTTGGCCTTGACTGCTTCCTTTGGCAGAGAATTTCTCAGGCTTGCCCGTCTCTGGGTGAAGTGATTTCTCCTCATTTCAGTTCTAAATGTTCTACTCTGTGCTCTCACACAGTGAACCCTGGTTCTCGACTCTCGGTCATCAAGAACATCCTTCCTGTGTTCACCTTTTCTAGTCCTGTTAGCATTTTATAGGTTTATATACGATCTTCCCCTCATTCTTCTAAGTTCCAGTGAATATACTCCTAATCGATCTAGCCACTCTTCATATGTCAGTCCTGCCATCTCAGGTATCAGTTTGGTAAACCTTTATTGCACTCACTCCAATTACAAGAACATCCTTCCTCAGGTAAGACAAAACTGCACGCAATACTCCAGGTGTGGTCTCATCAAGGCCCTGTACAACTTGCAGCAAGACATCCCTGATCCTGTACTCGAATCCACTCAGGATGAACAGTGTCCGAGAGGTCTGTTGCACACAAAAAATCCTTTCGGCCTATCAGGTCTGTGCCAGTCAACGAAGAGTCAAGCTACTTTAACCCCATTTTCCAGCACTTGGCCATTAGTCTTGTATGTTTTGGCATTGCAAATGCACATCTAAATATTTCTTAAATTATATGAGGGTTTCAGCCTCTACCTCGACCAGGCAGTTAGTTCCAGATTCCCACTATCCTCTAAACCTCCTGCCCCTTACGTTTAATATAAGCCTCCTGGTCATTGATCTCTTCACCAAGGGAGAGTTACTTCCAATCTACCCTCCACATAATTTCATACATCTCAATCATGTCCCCTATCTTCTCTGCTCCAAGGAAAACAAGCCGAGTCTATCTTATATTGTAATGAGTTCAGAGGGGTCAGATTTTGCAAGGTATGCAGGACAGCTTATCTTATCAGCATACAGAAGGGTCTACAAGGTACGATGCAGCGCTGGACTTAATTCTGGGGTGCAAAGTCAGACAGGTTTTCAAAGTGACAGCGGGAGAACATTTTAGTGATAGCAACCACAATACGATAAGTTTTAGATTTGCAAAAAAGGATTTTGATTTGAGGGAAGGCAGATTTCATTAAAATGAGGCATAATGGGGTCAGAGTAGACTAAAAGCATCTACTTCTGGGTAAATCTGCAGCAGGACAGTTGGGTAATCAGATCAGCAAACTTCGCATGGGCAGGAAGAGGAGATCACATCTGGTGTAGACATAAACCGAGTAAGTATATAATTCAGGGATTTTGGAAGCAGCATGGGAATTCGATGCAGAGGGGAAACAATGCTTTTTGCTTGCTTATTATGATGTGTGAGGTTTTTTATTCAACAGTATAAATTGAAGCACAGGATCGGGGCCCAGAAGGAAAGAAAAAGTGATATCACAGGAAAACCACAAGTTCATTGGTTGGTAAAAGCTGCTAATTTGACTATTATAGTTTACTGTCAGATTGAAAGTAAATAGGATAAATATTTACGGATTATACACTAAAAGACTAGTAGGGATTTTTTTTTTAAATTATAAACAAAGTAAATAAAACAGAGATAGTTGGAACTGCAGATGCTGGAGAATCTGAGATAACAAGGTTTGGAGCTGGATGAACACAGCAGGCTGTGATGCTGCTTGGCCTGCTATGTTCATCCAGCTTTACACCTTGTTATTGTAAATAAAACAGAGATGCAAGGCCAGACAGTGTGTTGTACCTGCATGATGAGGGACCCAGATGATCCCATTGTGCTACAGAAATTGCGCTATGCGAGCCATGGACCCACAAAGGACAGTAAGGTGCCAACCCCCAGCAGGAAATCTGATATGAGGGGGGTCAGGCCAGAGATGAGGAAAAGGAGCCAGCATGGAGGCAGAACAGACCCAACTTCCACCTGAACATAGAGAGTCAATGGAGGAGAAGGAAATGAAGGAGGCAGGAGAATGTCTACCGGTGAGAAACAACTGAAGAAAAACACATCAGACCCCCAAAGCCCCACAGCTAAATGGAAAGAGGTAGCTGCATGATGGCTGCACCAGCTTCTCCTTTGACAATTGAAGCATGCAGAGGGATGGCCATCAATATAAAAAAGAGGCAAAGCACCATGGGGGAAAGTGAGAGGAGCACCAGGAAATGCCTGACGTCCCAAGGGGCCTGGTAAAATGCAACCTTCATCTATCAGGAACAATGGGGTGTCCAAAACGTCAAAGCTCCGGGCGAACAGCAATGCTCCGAATCAGGAGCTGTGCACGATAGTCCCTCTGTCATTCTCTGAACTGGAGCTCGCTGCCTCATTCTTGCCCCAACAACACCACAGCAGGGCAACTTCCCCAGGGAGGGACAGGAAGGCTACCTCCGTCTAGAGAGCATCTAACAGTTCGCCCGCACCACAGGGATGCAGGGAGTTCCCCAATGACAAGACCGCAAGTAAATGGACATTGGGTAATGCTATTAACTCTGAAAATGCATTGTAAAATTTCCAGTATTAACATGCGTAGCATTAAATCTATGTGAGGTGTCTCCACATTAGCTTACCTGGCCAACATCAAAGCAGACCGCCTGTTTCTGCAGGAGTGTGGGATACCACACTTCAACAGCCACAGGAAATGGTCAAGCTTATGGACCCACAGGCCTTCAATGCGGTCAGAGATAAATGATTGCAGATCCTCTAGTCTGGGTATTCCACTGCAAGGAGGTAATTTCACCACTTCCGAGGTTAAGGAGGTGGTGGGCAGACAAAGGTTGAATTCAGAAGGGGAAAACAGAATAAGAGTAAGCTTGTGGAAAACATAACAATTGACTGCAAAGGCTTCTATAGATGTATGAAGAGAAAAAGACTGAAGACAAATGTAAGTGCTTTACAGATAGAATCAGGTGAATTCATAATGGGCAACGAAGAGATGGCAGTCCAGTTGAACAAATACTTTGGATCCATCTTCACTAAGGAGAACACAAATAACCTTCCAGAAATGCTAGAGGACAGAGGGTCAAGCATGAAGGAGGAACTGAGGGAATTCTTATTAGTCAGGAAATGGTACTGGTGAAATTGATGGGATTAAAACCCATTAAGTCCTCAGGGCCTGATGCTCCGCATTTCAGAAATCTTAAAGATGTGGCCCTAGAAATAGCAAATGCATTGGTGATCATTTTCCATCATTCAATAGACTCTGGAAGAGTTCCAATGGACTGGAGGGTAGCTAATGTAACCCCACTTTTTAAAAACGGAGGAAGAGAGAAAACAGGGAAACATAGGCCAGTTAGCTTGACATCGCTGGTGGGGAAAATGCTGAATTCAATTATTAAGGATGTAATATCTGAGCATTTGAAAAGCAGTCACAGAATCGATACAAGTCAGCATGGATTCACCAAAGGGAAATCATGGTTGACAAATCTTCAGGAATTTTTTGAGGATGTGATCAGTAGAGTGGAAAAGGGTGAATCAGTGGATTATGTGTATCTGGACTTGCGAAATGTTTTTTGACAAGGCCCCTCACAAGAGATTAGTAAGCAAAATTAAAGCCCATGGTATCGGTAATGTATTGACGTAGACAGAGAACTGGTTGGCAGACAAGCAGAGAGCTGGAATAAATGGGTCCTTTTCAGAGTGGCAGGCAGTGACGTGTACGGTGCCACAGTGTTCATTGCAGAGACCCCAGCTGTTCACAATATACATTAATGATTTGGACAAAGGAATTCAATGTCATATCTCCAAATTTTTAGACTTCTGAATGGACCTCTCAAATTTTAAACCTAATATTGATCTTGCATTTTGCATACGTTCTTTGCAGCCAAAATTTTGTACACCTTGCTTTTTCAATCACCTTATGATCTTTGTATGTTATGATCTGCCTGTACTGCATGCAAAACACACATTTTCACTGTACTTAGGTACATGAGTAATAATAATTCAAATCAAAATTTGCAGATGACACACAGCTGGCTGGCAGTGTGGGGCCTCTAGAGGTTGCAGGGTGACTTGGACACACAGGATGAGTGGGTTGGTATGCAGGTGCAGCAGGTGGTGAGGAAAGCTAATGGCATGCTGGCCTTCATAGCGAGAGGGTTTGAGCGCCAGAGTAAGGATATCTTGCTGCAGGTATACAGGGCCTTGGTGAGGCCACACTTGAGTATTGTGTACAGTTTTGGTCTCCTAGTCTGAGGAAGGACATTCTTGTCATTGAGGGAGTCCAGTGAAGGTTCACGAGACTGATTCCTGGGATGGCAGGACTGACACATGAGGAAAGACTGGATCGACTGGGCTTGTACTCACTGGAATTTAGAAGTATGAGAGGGGATCTCATAGAAACATAAAATCCTGATGGGACTGGACAGGCTAGATGCAGGAAGAATGTTCTCGATGGTGGGGAAGTCCAGAACTGGAGTCACAGTATAAAAGTAAGGGGGGATCCATTCAGAACTGAGATGAGGAAGAACTTCTTCACTCAGAGAGTTGTGGTGAACCTGTGGAATTCTCTACCACAGAAAGCTGTTGGGGCCAGTTCATTAGATATATGCAAGAGGGAGCTGGATGTGGCCCTTGCGGCTAAAGAGATAAAAGGGTATGGAGAGAAAGTGGAAATGAGATACTGAAATTGCATGATTAGCTATGAGCATATTGAATGGTGGGA